GTGAAAAGAAAAATCCTGAAAAGAATAGAAAAGTCCGCTGGCAGAAAGAAGCATCCTCTTGTCCATCATATATATACAATAGATTATTTCTTCGATTTAAATCTATTCAAATGTTCTTATATTCACCTCGATAAATAAAATCATGTAAAAAGAAAAGTCCTGAAGAGAATAGAAAAGTCCGCTGGAATATAGAAATATCCGCTTGTGGAGCATTTATATTTTGCTCTTCCTATCACTACTGATATACGTGACATTTCATAAGATATGTAAAGTCCCACATATTCATTGAGGACTTTAGGTAAAGTGGACATTTTTTGGACCCTTGACATTGCTGATCGTTAGGACAGTTTGCAAAATCTCTCAAAATCCTTTAAAAGATCTTTCTATGACTTCTGAGATCTTTCAAAGACTTAACAATCCGCACGCGTAATGTATAAAGACAGAGTTGATGCCATGCCCCTCAGCAAGCACTCTTCCATACCCACGAAGTACCTAAGGGTGGTTTTTCATTCCGGTTCCTAAGGAGGATGCGGATTCAAATTTTCTCCTTCACTTTCACCAACGTCGGTGTACATACCAAATCTTCGTAGTGAAGAGCCTGGTGGTCTCCGACTCAGCAGTGTCACATATCCTGCAATTTCGAGGGATGCTCACATCTCTATCGGGAGATGCTGCATTTTCAGCGGGAGATGCAGTACCCAATGTGAGGGATGCACATCTATCAATGAGATGATACATCTTCAACAGCAAATCACCGCATCTCCCGAGTGTGGGTGCCACGTCTCCCGCGGGAGATGCCGCATCTCCTGTGGGAGAAGTGAGCACTTCTCCAAAATCTTGGACATGTGACACCACTCCTCAGACTCAATCATACCTTTTAGTGTAAGGTATGCGAGAAAAGATTTCCGACGTATTTTATTTTTCTTAAACTCAGATATTCGTCTGAAAACAGCTCCCAGGAAAGGATCGTCGTGCGCAGTCTGTGCGAAAGTCATGTCTTTTGATTTTTGGGACTTACATACGTAAGGCGGCATCAACCTGAGGTGTATGGAAAAAGTATCGTTCAAAGTGTTTGAAATATCTTTTATAGATCTTTCAAAGAGGTTTCGAACCGGTTTTCATGTTTTTCTCGTGGGAAGCGGTGCGTTTCTTGCGGGTTTCCGGTGGGTTTCTCTAGGTTCCCAGCTTTTTCCCGTTGATTTCCGATTGCGGGAAATTAGCGGAACATTCAGTTTCCGAGTACGAGAAATTTCCGACCGGAATACTGCTTCCATGTTCCGGATGTTTTTCCGGTCGAAAAGACACCGAAAACGGCGGGAGAAGGCCGGAAATTGCATCGGATGCATTACAAAAAAAGGGAAAGAGTTACATATCACCATAAGAACAACTGGATATGATTTGATTTTATTAGCTATAAAATAAATGAATTTAGGATCGTTAGTTTTATTTAAATAATTGTAAAATTGTAACATATTGTTTTTCCAGTTTTTTTTCTATAGTCTCTTCTCTTGGACTAAAAATAATTTCCTTTTTCAAGTAAAAATTGTAACCAAAGAAATAAACAATTTCTTTATGCTAAAGCATCTAAATTACAATTGAATAGTAAACAATTGCTTTGAAAAATAGTCAATCAAACACTACTAACAAGGAACATTCCCAAATGTTTGTGCTACGAAGGGAAATTTTTTTGAGAACAGTAAACATGCAAAAGTAGTATGCCTATCAAAGGATGGGTTATATCCAACAGAAAATAAACTAAAACCCATTTCACTACTACCTAACCTAGGAAAATGGTATGACAGAATAATCCATAAAAGAATTTTAAGATGGTGTGAAGCATATAACATTTTCGTGGATGAACAGTCGGGCTTTACCTCGCAAAGAAGACTTCAAACGAGAATTATCTCATTGATAGAAGATATAAGATTAACTATAGCGGTTTGTAACAGACCAGATCTGGTGATTTTCTCTCAGCTTTCGATAGAATGTGGTTCCCAGCCCTAATCTCTTCACTAACAAAACTTGATATGCCTTTACCTTATATAAAATGGATAGCTTCGTGATTAAGTAAACGTACATTATCAATTCATTATGGAGATGCGGTATCACGTGTTATTAAAATGCAAATCGAAGCACCTCAAGGTTCTATACTAGCTGCTACTCTTTTCAGGTTTCATATACTAGGTGGGTAAAAATATTATTCTAAGGGGGTAACACTATGATTTCAAATAGAAGAGATAATGAATTTTATATCAAATGAAAGCTCGTCAAAAATGGGGTTTATTGATACTAAATAGTGAGGGTTATAAAAACTTTTTAATATCGAACTTAAGAAACTTTCAGAAATTTTATACTTTTTTTGGGATGGGAAAGTAAGGTGGCAGTAATTCAAAAATCGAGTAAAATTTTTTCTTGGATATTTCTACATGATTCGATAGAGCTCGTCGAGCTCTACAAAACCATATATATTAAAAGATTTTTAAACAGAGTTCTTGGGTTAAAACACACTGAAAACTGTCTAAAGGATGTACCAAAAAACCCGCGTTTTTTAGAGTTTTTATAGGGAAAAAAGTGGTCTTTTTTTACATTAAATTTAGCTGTTTTCCATTAATATCCTTATGTAAGGTGTTTGAAAATATACTCATTCGTTGTAGCGTGAAAAACTGCATCGAATGTGTATATTTCGAAACGTCTGAGGAAGTAAAAATAATTAAAAAAAGGTTAATTTTATTGAAACATCCACTGTGTTTCTTCAATATCAAAAATATGAGTTTTTTTAACTTTTTTTTAAGACTTCCAAATAGTTTTTTGAATTTTTTATCGCAAAAAACTAACTTAAAAATTTTTTAATATGTATAGTTTTGTAGATATCGACGAGCTCTATCGAATCATGTAAAAATATCCAAGAAAAACATTTTACTCGATTTTTGAATTACTGGAACCTTACTTTCCCATCCCAAAAAAAAGTATAAAATTTCTGAAAATTCCTTAAGTTCGATATTAAAAAGTTTTTATAACCCTCACTATTTAGTATCAATAAACCCCATTTTTGATGAGCTTTCATTTGATATAAAATTCATTATGTCTTCTATTTGAAATTATAGTGTTACCCCCCTGGAATAAGATTTTTACCCACCTAGTACTTTTTACAAGAATATAATTTTTTCTTTTCGGGCATATATTTATTTACTTCTCATCAAAATGAAATTACTCTAATCTATCACACAATATTGACTAAGAAATCTTGTTGAATTTTTTGAAATCATCTATAGTTATTAGTATTTAGGTTTACATGTGCCTAATAGTTATTAGATGATCGTTGTAGCCTTCAATATTGATTGCACCTCTAATGTAAGTAGATGGTCAATTGATGAAGAAGTTTGTCTTTATTGGTACTTTGACCATTCTAAAACTGTTTTACATGAAGCGACAATATATTAGGTGTGCACATGCGAAAAATTTCATGCATATAAAAGCGAATATAGTTTACTGTGTGATGCGTTCTCACACATTCCAGGTCACAACATTTTGTGTGTGTACACGTATTTTAGTGGGCTTTCACATTCTACTGGGTATTCATAAGACTTAAATCGATGGTATATCAATCTGTGTTTTCCGGCTCTCAGTCTATATTAGATAGCTCGCAAACTCAATAATTTATTAGCGCTAAACCAAACAATAGGTAATTAGCTGGGTTATTGAATATCCCGTTTTTTTTCCTCTTTCATTGATTTGTCAGAGCTCCATTTTAGGTCAGGTGACCTGAAATATGGATGCCACAAGTATATTATGTAGGATAAAATCAGCTTTTTAAAAATTCAAACTCATATTAAAAAACTGTTATCACAATCCCTAAGGAGTTAAAATGTGAAATACGATGTAGCCCAATCACAGAGAGATTGTTTTCTTCTATCTATTTGGTTGTACATTGCTTCGCCATCCTTTTATTTAGTTCTCGAGATATGCAAGGTGGAAATAGTTTATATAATAGAATCCGCCGATCTCATCTGTCATGATCTGTGAAGGTGAGGTGAGAAATAAGAATTTCTACTCTCTATATACTTCAACACTCATTTTAGATTATGATTGACAAAAAAGTAAGATAGTTGATACGCACATGTCATAAAGAGACGTAGCCAGAAAAAAGTTATACGGAGACAGTAGCTCAGCTGTAGGAGAAAGGAAAAGTTAAGCCCTCTTTAACTCTCATCTGGTTATGGCACTGGCCACATATCTATTATCATAGCAAAGTAAAAATCATAATGATCTATTAATATATTAGGACTCTTTTATTTCCTTTTTACTTACATGGATGATATTCCAATATCCGATGAATGATTCATTCCATCTGTTATAGTAAATAAATGACTAATTAATTCAATGCCACTTTTTCCCATACATTCAATTAAATTTGCACTAAGATTATCTCGATTTTTTTCTAAAAATCCACGAGCATCATAAACAACCTAAATGAAGAGACACAATAGAATATTTCTTTTTTTTTTATAACTTTAAAAAAAAAATTCTTTTTATACTTTGCCAGCATAATGATGAATACCAAAAGCTGTTTCATTGCCTCTTGGTTTAATGTATCTTGAATGACTTTTACAATGACTATGAAATTTTTGTACGAGTGATTCATCATTTGCTTTTGGAAAACGAGATTCTTCATCAAGTAATGCAAATATACCTAATGTCTATTTGATAATAAAAAAACAGAATCCAAAAAAATATTTTTTGTTTTTAATTAAACTTACACCCATAAATAATTCAATTAAATCTTCATTATTTTGAAATTCAACTTTTTCACATGATACACCTTCTGTTCGATAATCTTGTTCTTCTTTTAAAAAAATGTGTTCATTAAAATAATACTGTAGATGTTCATTAGCAACATTGATACATAATTGTTCAAAACTATTCACTTGAAAATTTTCAAAACCTGACATATCTAATATTGAACATGTACGATAAATTTTATCATATATTTGATTATATCTATTTAATAAAATACGAAAAGAAGAACATTTTATTTTATATTAATAAATATTTAAAATAAAATTATTACCGTCGATTTGGTTGTAAAAGTGTATTTATTTGTTTAACAATCCATGAAAATAAACGTTCATATAAAGCTTTAGCAAGTGCATCACGACAATCATTAGCTTGATCAAAATTTTTTAAACTTATAACGCGTTCACCTAAGAGAATCATTTTCTATAATGAAAAAATCCATATAAATATCAATGATATACCTTTAGTCATATTGAATGTCGAAATAAGAGCCATAGTTAACATTTCTTGATCAAGTCCAAGTAAACTACAGACTAAAAAAGTAAAACGAATTTAGATCACGCTATAGTTATAGTATTTTGGTCAGCAAATTGCATTTCGAGAGATGGAAAATGTGTGCCAGTAGACCAGGCACACAGACAGGATTTTTGAAACGGGGAGATGAACTTTTTTTTTTATCATGGTGAATGTTTGACAATTTATTTTTGTTCATCTTTATGTAGATATATTACATCGTATTGAGTTTTGATTTTCAGACTTTTTTAAAACAACTGCTCTGATTCACTCTAGCTATGGTTAATAGTTCTGATTTTTTCAATTTTTGGCACTCTTATGCAAAAGCATTCAAAATCCAAAAAATCATAATTATTTGCCAAACCTAGAATAAATCAGAATGGTTTGAAAAACAAATTAGGAAAATCAGGACCCAATACGATGCACAAGAAAATCAAAAAAAAAAGAAAACACATAAGAAGTACGACGATTGATTTGGTCCTTTCGTAAAACTTATTTTACGTTTGGATTTGACAAATTCATTAATAACACTTTTAATATTTAATTTCTGAGCGACTTTTTTTTATTAATATTGATGTGCGACTACAGGGACTTATTTTTTCTACGGGATTTATTTACTTATTAGAAATTTTGATCACATCCTAACTCATACCAACACCTTGTATGTATTGAGGAACTGTATGGGACTTATTGAAAGGTCCCAGAAACTGCTGATATTGATAACAGCTAAATCACTCAGTAGTTCATAACCTGTTCCATTGCGCACACTAATATACTTCGAATTTTGCCTCATTATTTGCAATACCTCTATAAGAATAAAGGTTTTTTATTACATATGAATCACAATTTAGAGCGAAATATTTATGTTTCGCCATGTATTTAATTCACAATAATCATTACCATCAAACAATAAGTACATATGTTAGTTCAAGCAGAAATATATTCAAAGAAAGCTTTGTTTCGTGCCGGGGGAGATCGATCCCCATGTAATCCTCCTCGGGCTGTGTCACGATAGTAGACGAAAATACTGTACGAATTTTGTAATTGAAATGCTTTAGTTGAAGTTAGCAGTTGTTCATTCAATGGTTAGAATACTGAACAAACTACTTAGAAATCTACAATATCATAGGTGAGTGAGTTTGGGTACCTACTCATACTCGATGGAATGATGAATGAGCTTTCTTTTAATTTTTTTTTCAGTGTTTTAAAATAAGATGTGAAGATATATCATAACAACGAATGATTTTACGTGTATTACAAATTTAATTTTACACATGTTTTCTTTATGTAAAAGTTTTTCTTTCTTGCTAAATTATCTTGTTTGTTACTTGTTAGAACTGATTTCTATTCGTCTTTTCTCCTTCATATATTCGTGTGTGATATATCAAATATATTATTCCACATCACTTCTAATAGGATCAAAACAACTTATCATCCTGTTGGATACTACGCTGTCTTACTAAGCACTATAGAATGTAACAAATTTTTATAGGATTTCTGGTTTTTACGAAAGTTAGTGAGAGAAATTTGATTTATCTAATATGTGAAGCATATCCGTCACTCATAGATGAAAAACACAACAATTTAATATCAATCTTCTCATTAATTTTTGAATCATCTTGATTCATATGATACACAGTAATAAGATCACTTACCAACTTCTAATGGATATTCATCTTCAATATAAACTCCATCGGTTTCATCATCATGTGAAAATCGAATATTAGTTAAATGAAGAATAGCTGAAAGAATTGTAAATACCATATTAATATCCTAGAAGAATTTGAAATAATTTTTAGAATAGAATTTTTTTAAAATAAAATTTACGTCTTTAGTAAATCCCACTCGTTGCATAATATCTTTTTGTGTATTAAACATTTGTCTACAATGTTTAAAATCTGATCGATTTGGAAATACTTTTCCTCCACATGGATCTTTTAATATTCTAAATAAATATCTATAAAATATTAATTTAATATAAAGAAATTTTTCATACCGATATGTTTCTGGATCATCCAAATAAAAATATTCTAATGTTTCTTTTTCCAAACCAGCAAATAAATAATAAAAAAAATGAAATGTTCGTTCACCTGGACCATGTTGAACAACACGAGATTTTTCCAGTAAATAATCATAAACTTTTGCTTAAGAAAAGAAAAACGAAATATCTTATTCAAAATAAGAAGAAGAAGAAAAAGAAAGAAAATTATGCATACCACCAATAATTCGACCCGTATCGGTAAAATTTAATTGAAGATATTTTCCAAAACGACTCGAATTTTGATTCATACATGTTTGAGCATTACCAAATGCTTCGAGCAGTGGTGAAGTCTATAATTATAAATATTGTATTAAACATAATCAAATGTATTTCAATACAAACTTCAATAATTCGATTTTGTAATTCACGATCACCAGCAGCACCTGAACAATGAATTATATGTGAAACAATAAGTTTTGTTGATTCAGTTTTTCCTATATGAAAAATAAAATTCATATTTAAAATAAATATAATAATTAAGAGACATTTCATAAGAAGACCAATGAATCAAGACAATAGTCAATATTTTCACTTTTTTAAGGTGCATTTGAATAATCATCATTTAAAATCATTAGATCTAAATTTTTAACTCATTTAGATGTTCCATAGTAAATTTAGCCGAGATCGACAATAGTGTAAATTGTCTCATAAATGTTTACTAAGATTAAACTTCAACAAGTTAGAGAATATTTTCATACAATATACGAAAATTTGAAAAAAAAAAACGAGCTATTTCCAATACTGTATATCATCTATTTACTGAAGTTATACAGTTCAACATGAGTGAAGTAGATCATAAGTTATATGTTTCTAATGAGATGTTTTGTGATTTTTGAATAGAAAAAAAAAGCATTTTAGCGGTTTTGATTGTTATAACACAATTGTAAGTCAGAATAAATGCGACATTCAGGATCAACGTAAAAAAATTACACTGAGTCAGATACATTTAAGGAAATCTTTTCCGTGAAAAAATCATCTGTAATCCCCGAGGATTAGATTTTCGCAAGAAAAAAAAATTCTCTAAAATGTATTTCGAGTAAATATAATTTTTTGATACTGATTCCGAATGTCATATTTATTGTGACATACAATCGTGTTATGACACTGAAAATCATTAAAATGCTGTTTTTTTTTCTATTCAAAAATCACAAAAAGTCTCGTTATGAACATATAACTTATGATCTACTTCACTCATGTTGAACTATATATAATCTCAGCAAATAGATGATATACAGTATTCAAAAAATAACTCATTTTGTTTCACTTTTCATGCTCCAAATTTTGGTTTATTGCATGAAAAACTTCTCTTGTTGAAGTATAATCCTAGTAAACATTTTTGAGGCAATTTATCACTATGGTCGATTTAGGCTAACTTTATTATAGAATATTGAAATGCGCTAAAAATACGAGTCTAATTGTTTTAGAAGATGGTCTTTCAAATGTAGATAAAAAAAATAAAATTTTGACTAGTGTTTCGACTCCTTGATCCTCCCATGAGTCGTGTCTTAATTATATACCAGCTCCACTTTCGCCTGAAACAGCAATACATTGTGATTTTTTCGATAAACAAAGTTTTCGATAAGCTTGATCAGCAACCCAAAAAAGGTGAGGTGTTAATTGATTTCGATATTGAACATATTTATATAAATCATGTTGCTAGAATAAAGTTTTTTTTTTTTATTGATTAAATGTTTTTCTTTTTGTTCTTGTTCTACAAAACAAACCTGTTTTTCATATATATTTAATTGTTTAAATGGATTTATAGCAATAAGAACATCTCCAATATAAGTCTACTCATCCAAAAAAGGCAATTTTTGAAAAATAATAAAATAAAATAATAAAACTTACATAAATAATTCCTTTTTTATATCTAGCACGTAATTCACGTAATAAACTTTCTTCATCAAGAACACTTAATGTTGATAAATCATCAATTTCTCCTGAACCTACTTTAATAACCATCGTTTTTATTATAAACCAAAGAATCTAACAAACGATGGTTGCGTACGATTAACTAGTTCAGTATATGACCCATCGTTTGTGTACATAGAGAACAAAGATAAATGCAAGACTTCGAATGAGGACACATTCATTCATATGTTTAATCAAAAGATTTCGTATCGATGTCATCAATCGGAAGAGAAGAAAGATATGTATTCGGATAAATATAAAGAAGAACACGACAAAAATCACAAGATGTCATGTTGGGACGATCAGGAAGAGAGTGAAATAGGTGATGTATATATTTGTTCATCTTCGTCATTTCGGAAGTCAATAGTGTTCGTCAATAGAGACTTTATACTTTGATTTTATTATTCCATAAGAAGAAGACAAAAAAAAAAAAAAAGACGATATAAAGACACCCGAAAAAAAAAAAGTGAGAACATATGTTTGAATGGATAACAAACGAAATAAAGAATGAAGAATTTGATTTACAAAAATGGATGATTGATCGGTATTAAAAGAAAAAGAAAAGCTCGCCATTAATGATCGTTAGCCGTCAGACGTCTCATTCAATGACTTTAATGAATAGACCAACGATCAGCACCATGAAAAATAAGCAATGACAAGTTTTGTTTTGATTGTGCACTTTTTAAAAAATTGAACAACGAGACCAAAACGATGTACCAGCTTTTTTATGTGTATCCGCTTTTGGCCTTATTACTGCGGGTTTATTACCCAATTGATCACTACCCTATAAAAATTTTTAAGAAAAAAAAAAAAAAAAAGATAAAAAAAACGAAAAAAAATAAAATTTCGAAGATTCATACAGATTTTTTATCAATTTTTGCTTTAATATCTTTTGCAAGAGAAAAAAATGCATCATCCACATTCTAGAATAATTATTTCATATGTAATATAAAATAAAATATTTTCTATAATACTTACAATATTTCCTTTGGCACTGGTCTCCATAAAATGAATACCATATTCATTAGCAAGCTAAAGAAAAGAATATGTTTGCTTTTTTTCTTTATAACAAAATAATAGAGCGTAAATAAATATAAGTTTTTATATTTATAAAAAGTTTTTCCATGAATTAATTCTTCGAATATTAACTGCTTAAGATTCTCGTGTAATTTTGAACGATTGAACTGAGATTTTTATTGTAGATACGAGAAATAACACGTTTGAATATTTAACCTTGTCATTCAATGTTATGGAATTTTACATATTTACTGTATATTCAACTGAATCCGATGAAAATAGTAATGAGCGGGGAGAAACGAATGCTTATAACGGATGGTGCATAATAAATGGATCAAAATGTTTAGCACTTTTTTTTTTAGAGCACTTCCTGATTTATTAAAAAATTCATTTTAGGCTTATTCAATAAAGAAAAAATGCTTTGAAACAACACTAACGAGGGAAGGTCCCCAAGTGTGAGTCTCCGTTTTGCATCGGGTATTTGCCATTTTATAGAGCTCAGTGAGTACAGTAACTACGTATAAAGGATTCGTCCCATCGGTGAACTTTTCAGGTACAACGAGGTTTCATACCTTCTGAAAAATTATCATCAGACTCTTAACTGAAGGCCTGAATTTTAATATTGCAAGGACAAAACATAGTGTTGTTCGGGCCAATTTGAGGTTATCAATGATGCTCTTTCATATGGCCCGAACAACACCAGATTTTGTCCTTATAGTAGTAAAGTGAATTTTTTTGGTGTTTGATAGAAAACGCTGTTTTCTATGAGCTTTAG